ATGCTCAAACAGCAACATTACAGACTAACTAAAGTTGAAAAAGTGAAAAAGCATAATAGGACCCCTTTAAATTATTATTATTATTTTTTTTAGTTAAAATCATCTAAAATCATCAAGTCTGTTCAACAAATGGTCACCGTCAGGGTTTCGAGAGGGGAAACTCTAACATGCAACAACCAATTTTCAGTATATATATCAATTTTTTATGTCCCAGCCTATATTTTTTCTATTTAAATAACCAGTGTTAGGTAAAATGGGTTGCGAATGTAATTTCATGTTGACTTTACTGAAGTTTTGAAGAGAAATTAAGAAGTTGTTACACACCCAACGCTGATTTAAGAAAAATTATCCAATAACAGCATTTCAACAGTTTTTACAAACAAACAATGAAAAACAAAGAAGTGATGGAGCCTTAACTCTGAACTATTTCCAAAAGCAACAAACTGTGTTTTCCAGAACTCTAGAAGAAGATCCTGGTTATTGATTCACTTGACATGCACTAGCTGTTTCGTGAGAGCTGAGTTGTTTATGTGTATCATCCTGGGTGATTCTTTGACTGACTTCTTGACTTTTTCATTACTGAATTATTAAACCGTAGCACCATAAATCCTTTACCATGAGGAAAAGTCAATACCTCTCTTGTTAACCTCAGATACACTCAACTCACTATGCCAAATGGTTCTTTGCTTCATTTAAAAACATTATTGACAGCATTGAATAAGCATAAATAAATAGTGTGTGGTCCTCCACAGGGTTCACTATAGACATCAGGTAGACGTCATATCAGTGTGATCTCCCAGCATGCATTGCTGTGTGCTTTATTGTTCTCTGTGGGAGAATATTATACCTTCTCACGCCACCAGGATGACAACAAACCTCTTATCAGCATGAGAAAAGCAATGTTACTGACCATATGTTATATGAGAATCAGACACCATGGCGTTATGACGGCTATCATCACAATTATGATGGGTGTACAATAGTTGCATGTGATGATGTGACATTTATTTGCTCAATACGACAAAATGCAAAAATATACACCAAGAACTAAGTAATATTTAGGTGAATCTCACAGAAACATGTCCAGGTCATATTTCACTCCAAAATCAAATGAAAAAATACATAAAATCTTATATTTAAAATATTATAATTAACTACTGTATATAACTCAATAAAAATATATAACATATTTTCATGAAGGAAATGGAGTCTATTTTTAGAACCACTAACATTTTTCAAATTGTTTTCAGGAAAATAAAGCACTTTTTTGCACTGTAATGTATCCAAATGTTTTCTTTTCATCACATTCTCATATATTAAAATCTCATATTTCACTCCAAAATCAAATGAAAAAATACATAAAATCTTATATTTAAAATATTATAATTAACTACTGTATATAACTCAATAAAAACATATAACATATTTTCATGAAGGAAATGGAGTCTATTTTTAGAACCACTAACATTTTTCAAATTGTTATTGGAATATGTATATGGTTATTGGACATAAAAGCTATTGTTAATTGGAAAATAAAGCACTTTTTTGCACTGTAATGTGTCCAAATGTTTTCTTTTCATCACATTCTCATATATTAAAATCAGTGTAAAGTTATCCCACTTTTATGCTGAATTAAATAAAATTACAGATACTAACATGATATATTAATACATTTTTTAAATATTACAACAACAGAGATTTGCATTACAATAAGGTGTGTTTAACTGCAAGAAAATAATGTCACAATGCAAAAAAATCTTATGGTCCTACAAAATTTCTTAATTTTCTTAATGCAAAATATATTATTTTTAATTCCATTTGAAAAATGACCTGTTCTAGACAAGTTTTGTGAGATTCATATATTTATGCATTATTATATATCTTATCAGTGGCTCTTTGTGCATCAGTGAACTATGAAAGCATAAATGAGTTCTGCAGCTTAATAAAATACAACAAATGATTCATTCTTAAATAAAAGCTCTTGAACAGAGCTGAAGAGAGAGCTCAGTTTATCTGAAGTGAATCTCTGGCTCTGCACTATATTGAACATGTCTCACGGTTCTGCTGCTGTAAGAACTGATAGCAATTCAGCGATTCGATTGTCCAGACAAGCAGATAGGCCAGCCTTGACATAAAAGCTGAATCAGCAAGCATGACAATCAGTTACTGTTAGTCTGAGTTATTGAAAATGATGTAGTCAAACATATTTACCAGAAAGAAGCCATTGTGCTGAGATGTCTCTTTATTACGGTTCTTTTTATCCTGTCGACGGCAGCAGCACACACAAACAGACACACACGCAACAGAAGATAAAAATGCTGTTAAAATGGAGATAAATGTTAAGATAAGTGATGCAAACATAGGATGAACTTTAAAGGAAATTTAAAGACAACAACAAAAATGCAATAAAATGCAGCTTGCAAATGGCCACGTTCACACTCCAGGTGAAAATGATTCAGTTCAGAAAGGGCTTTGAATGATTTACTTATTGAATCTGATTCAAATCACGAATATTTTGTGAATATTTTTGACTGATTCATCAAAACCAACTCATAAGAGTCATTTGTTCACAAATCAGACATCACGGTTCGTGCTGTGTCACTTTAAAGATGTGATTAATGCAACCAGATAAAATGATAAATTACACAACATGTTTATTTATCACAGTGTGACTCATATATTATTTTTTTCATGCAGTGTAATAATTAAGATTAATTCGCTCTTATATTTAAAATTTGACTCCCTAAACTTTGCAGTGCATACATGACCAATAAAAACTATTAGGCAAAATATTTAAGGGAAAATAATTCTGCTGTAGAGTCAAAACATTTACAAATACATTTAAATAAAAAGTGTTTAAAGAAAAAACATATGGTGCAAACTTAAAAATACAATTACAGCCCAGTCTCACAAGTGAGTTTATCATTTTGTAAATCTTTTTGTCTGATTCATCAAAACCAAGACATTTTTTCATGAATCAGACATCATGGTTCACGCTGTGTTTGTTGCTTCATCACTTTAAAGATGTGATTAACTAATGCAATCTGATAAAAAATAAATGACAAAACTGCATTTTTACACGCCTGTATTTTACATTGTTGCATCAGGTGTGAATCAGGAACCTTGTATTATTTGTATATGCAGTGCAGTGCAATAATTTATTTGATTAATTCGCTCTTATATTTAAAAGTGGTTAAGATTCTAAAAACTTTGTATATGTGGCCAATAAGTTTGAAGTCATTTTGTGAATCTTTTTGACCGATTCATCAAAACCGACCCATAAGAGTCATTTGTTCGTGAATCGGATATCACAGTTTGCGCATGCAATATTTCAATATGCACTTTAATAATGTAGGAGATTAATTCGCTCTTATATTTAAAAGTGGTTGTGACTCCCAAAAATTTGCGGTGTGCACGTGGCCAATAAAAAACCATTATGCAAATCAAATTAAAACATTCAAAACAAATGAAAAAGCCATGTTATTAAAGCAAAAACAAATGCATGTTTATCCAGCCCCACAGTGGTGGCCATCCTACCTTAAACTCTTTTTCGATGTTGGCGAGTTTGGTGAGCTCATTGCTCAGCTCCAGCGCGGTCAGTACGGGGTCTTCGCTGGACAGAGAGAGATACGCCGGACTGGCCAGTCCACGGTACGCATTTATCCTGGACCGCGAGTGGCTGAACGAGTCCTTCCTCTGCTTCTCCGTGCAGTCAGCGCATTTGCAGAAGTAGTCGTGAGGCCGCTCGATCCTGGCGCCCTTCATCAGCAGAATGTGCACGACCTCGTATTTCTGGCAGTGGGCGGCCAGGATGATAGGCGTGATATCGGGCGAGAACCGTGTGCCGTCCTCGTCGTACGAGTAAAAGTCGTCGTCTTGCAACTCGCAGGGGCTGCGGGTGAGTCGTTCGCCGCCCGCAAAGGACGGATGTCCCAGCAGGGCCTCCACAATACGCATGTAACCTTTGGAAATTGCCAGCAGAAGCGCATCCCCGACACGGGCCAGGTTGTCTCTCTGCAGGAGCAGCTCGGTGACCTCCAGGTGTTCGTTGCCGACGGCCAGCTGTAGCCCGTTCTGTCCCATGTAGTCGACGCAGTTCACGTTGAGTGTGGGTGATTCTTCCAGCATTTTCCGGACCACCGGGATGTTGCCGTACTCCGCCGCGTCCAAAAAACGTTCTTCCTCCGCCGTGAGGCTGCTGCCACGGGTGTTGAACATGAACGCCGGTCCGCGAACCGCCTGTCGTCGGCCCTTTTCTCGTGGTAGGGTCATCCTGCAATGGGGGAACGTATCCGAAGATTTCCTGCAATTGAAAAATAAGTATTTTTACCTTGTGAACGTTAGTCAAGCTCATCCAAGTGGAAGTGACTTTCTATGCACTTGGCTGCTTGATTATATCTCAAGCCTTTGACAAATATCCAAGAAGTTGACTTTCTCACTGAGAGCTGACAAGTGGTGTATCATCAGGGACGTGATCCCACAGGGACGGAAAGGTGATTCGGGCCGGACGGTCCTGTTGAAGGCGAGATCGCCCTCTGGCTTTTAATAGCTTTTTAATGAAACGCAACAGATGCCATATTCAGACAACAGGTGGAGTGACGTCTGTTCTCAACTCAAGCTGACTCACGTTTAGTGAGCACGCGATGTGAAGAGAGCATACAGTAAGAGTGTGAATGTTAATTTCGCTCAATTGTATGGATAATACTTTTAACAATGTTAATACATATTGGGCCTTTACTCTTTACATCTTGAGACTTCATGGCATTCATATGAAAGGTTTAAAACCCTTATCCCTTTCCCATATTCCTCTATACACTCACTGCAATACAAAGTCCAAAAAACATCAAAACATATTTGTGAATCTGGCACTAGAACTCTGTGCCAATTACAAAAGCTTATTCTGAGAGGATTTTCACACCTTCTGACCAATGATTTTCTATTACTTTTCCCCATGCATTTTATAGAGACTGCACTCTGGTCAAATATTTTAGAGTAAAGCATGGCTGAAAATGGAAAATATATATTTAACACATTCTAAAGAATATATATTTGACATTCTTTAAAACTGAGATTTAAAAAGAGGACATAAATACAGACATGCATATAATTTAATATTTTAATTTACAGTCATTTAAGAATGTTTTTTAAAATTATTTAAATGATTTAAAAATGATAATATATATACACACATATATAAAAAAATATTTTCATTATATATATATATATATATATATATGCATGTAGCCTATGTATGTATAATGTATATGTGTGTATGTATACAGTTGTGGTCAAAATTTTACATACACTTTCCAATACCTGCAAAATGTTAATTACCAAAACACAATCATACAAAATGCATGTTGTTTTTTATTTAGAGGGATAATACAAAATGCATGTTGTTTTTTATTTAGTACTGACCTGAATAAGATATTTCACATAAACGTCATTTATATATAGACCACAAGAGAAAAAGTTTACATACACTTGATTCTAAATTCTTTGGTTTTCCAGCATCTTTTGCGTATTTGAACCCTTTCCAACAATGACTGTATGATTTTGAGATCCATGTTTTCCCACTGAGGACAACCAAGGGACTCATACGCAACTATTAGAAAAGGTTCAAACGCTCACTGATGCTCCAAAAGGAAAAACGATAAAAAATAAATAAATAAAATAACACGACATTCTAATTTATTGAGATGCACCTGTATATAAATATATGTATTAGGGATGCCACAATTCTCAATATAATATTGAACCGTTCGGTACGACATCCATGGTTCATATGATATTCCATGTTTTTATCCAGTGTACAGAAGTATACAGGTGACTTTTTTAAAAAATGACATTTTAAATCCCAAATCGCAAAAAAATACTCTGATGTGCCAAGCCATCACAACCAATCCTATATATATGGCCTAAAGCTGTGACACAATAATCATTAACTAATAAATATGAATCTGAAGACTGCACTATTAATAAACTGTTAAACTCCCTTGTATTAAAAGCCACCAACACTGTTTACTGAGCCATATTCATGCTGTATTGAATCAAACAAAACTTCGACTGACACATTACACCACAAACAAACGTATCTGCTTTAACACAATATAATCCTTAAAAAAAGCACAGTGTTAGCAAAAGTCATAAACACATGAAACTGAATCAGAAAAAAAAAAACAGGCAAATAAAATTGTATTATTGTGTACTCATAAAAACAACTCATTCAAGACATCAAACAACTTCAGCACAAACCTTATTTATTACATGCATTAGTAAATAAGGTTTGTGAGAATGAGTTTGTTTAATTTAAGGTCTGAATTTATAGTCTGAAGCGCAGACTATTAACTGCAGGATTTACTTGAGCGGGGAAATTAATTTCACACAGCCCGGGTCCCTGGAGCTTCAGACGTCACCAGAGGCCAGAGAGGAGGGGAAGCATTCAACTCGAAACTCTCCATGCAAGACTCTTCCATGCCAATTCAATAAACGCAAAGAGCTCAGCCTCCCCTAAAACCCCTTGACTCTAGCGAACACAGAACATGACTTGAATCTGCTCTGTACTGAGGTATGAATTAATAAAGTTAAACTTCCTACTGCATATGTAGTGAACAAAAATATGAAACTCTCTTACAGCTGAGATTTTTTTTTAGATTTACATTACATTTTATGGATTTGGCTTTTATCCTGCAATGTATATATTTCACCAGTATTCCCTGAGAATCAAACTCATGAACTTGGCGTTTATTTGAGCTACACCAAATTGAGGAACATCTTTTAATTAATTAGTTTTGTTAAGAAATTTATTTGGTGTACAACACAAATTTCAAGCCTTTAGGCAGACGAATTTATA